ATATGTTTGATTATGTAACCATTACAATTACCTCATTGGCCATTTGACAGTGAATGCGGTATTTTCCGTTTTGAAACTACGTCTGCATTAGCTAGGAGATCACTGCGAGTGTAGCTCTCCAGATAATAAGTTTCAAATAGTCACAAAGTAATCTTCGCATAAGCGAAATTTGTTTGTAGCATCGGAGACCGAACCCGCTTCTCACAATAAATTTGGCATTATGAGATCGTAATACCAGAACCTTTCATAAATTTTTGATGCATTTCTGAGCTTCTAAGTGAATAAACACGGAAATATCGTTCCACCATCCTTCTAGCAGATGGTTATACACAACCCAACACAACATAATGGAATCCCAAAGGGCGAATGCAGCAAAGAAGTTTTCAGAAGATTGTTATTAGTTCACTTTGTTGTAGAATTCGTTCCCTAATCTCGTCTGTTCAGACCCCGCCGTATGATTTAACAATGAGGATATTAACGAGAACACGAGTGGTAGAGATGTGCACTAAATTTCATAAGAAGGCGATGGAGAGCGATGGGTAGAGGAATGGTCCTGGCAAAGGAACAACGGAAAAATTATCGGTGTTTGTAGGGAATGATCAATTTTATAAAGAAACGAGAGTTAGAAACAAGGGTATTATTCTATAAACAAGAGTTACTGCGATGTAATCGAGTGAACTGACTGCGGTGTTGTTGAGCGTTCAGCACTGAACGAATTCTGCGATGGTTAGCGCTCCGAATATTGTCGAGATACTTCTCGGCTCGCCGACGAATTGAATAATCGTTTCTGGCGATCATTTCATCTCTTGTGGTCGTTGATAAATAACGACGATCCACTAGTTTCCGTTGAAGACGAAGTTTTTGTTTTTGTTTTGATTGTCGTTGTTTAACTGTTTTGAGAATCTCATGAATGTTCGAAATTCATTTTTACTTTTGAATTGTTGCGAAATATTTTTGTTTTATATTTTTCGATAATATTTTTTTGTTTTTGTTTATATTCAGTATTTTTTTTTGTTATATTTTTGTTTATGTTCAATAATTCGCTGAAGGTGCGGCATGGTGTCGGTCTCAGAAAGTATCTAGTTAGGTCACTTTGTTGATATTATTATTCGTGGTATTCTCGATCCAAATAAAGTCAACACATTGGAATGAGCAATAATTAAGAAACATGGCTGTTGCAGCCCACGAGGTTGCAGCAATGAGTTGAGCAGCCCATGAAGCAGCAAAAAAATAATCTAATTCGTTTTTACAAACGTTACGTCGGCAACATTCAGTCAGCTTTTCTTATCGCTCTTGCGAAACGTTTATTGTCGAAGAAATGCGCCACAGAAAACTCTATTAAAGGGTGCGTGAAGAGTGGTTGGTGACTAATGTTGACTGGAGGCCGAGACGTGAAGGTCTGTCTGATTCAGAGATGTGCAGTGAGAACGGTGATCACCCAAGTAGTGTCGCCAGATCGGTGAACAGATAGAGGCACTTAAGTGAGAGTGTAATGAAGTACAACGGCGATTGATTTGATGCATATTAACAACCAGTTTGTGGATATTATCCATATCTGTTTACAAGTATTGATCTGATGATTTTTTGAACTGAAATGAGATAGATGTGTATGTGTATGTGGGATGTGAATGTGTATTTATGAGGTTTTTATGTAATTTGATTACACATCATCGCTCTGATTGTACGATTTTGTTTTGTGATTGCCTCTATGTTTTCATTGTATGCCTCCTTGCCTCGTCTCAGTCTCGCCTCATCATCACTTCTCTACTCATTTCATCTTTGCTCTCAATTCGTTGGTCGTCTTCGATCGCTTTTACTATCAGTTTTTGTGAACAGTCGTTTGTGTTCCACTTCATGTTCTTATTGGTGATAAGTGTCATGTGAGTGAATCTCATTGAAATATGCGTCGTTTTTGCGCTCTTTGGGAGTGAGTTTCACTAATTTAATGTCTTATCAGTCACACAGATGATGATGTTTCTTGGAATAAGGCGGATGTTTTGTGGTAGTTTGCGACACTGAAATGAATGATCTTATCACGCGAAAGTACAACGTTCAAATTTACTTCGTATTCCTCATCACTTTTGCGAAATTTTCGGAGTATAAATGATAGATTTCTCGTTGCTATCGTCCTTATCATATTTCTGTTGTCATCAAAAATCAAAAATTTATTAGCATACATACTAGAGAATATCCGAACATTATCTAATTAAAACACTCATCGGCCGTTGTTTACCGTCTTCCTCGGCAGGTTGTGTTCCTGCTTGAATGAACGTTTTTCGTAGCGTATGTAGCTTATTTGAGTCGTATGCACTATTTTCATGTGGCAAATAACCGATGAATTTGCTGTCAACTTTTATTGGTGTCTTCGAGCAGTATTATGTCGAATCAAAAACATCTCAAATATAAGTAAATGTAAATGAAACGTAACGAATGAATAATCGCTGCGAGTTCGTGCACAGTATTTCAATGCTCACTGTGATTCACTCACACGAACATGTTTTGTTCATCACCGTTCAGTCATATGATTTCGATATTGTGAAATGCGTTTGCTTGATCGTTCAATATTTCATGATATTACTTACGTTTTATATGATAATGGTTGCACCAACCTAATTTACGCACTCTTTCGTCATGCTAAAACAGCACTTACAATACTTTTCGTAAAACTGGTGGATGCGGCTGCATCACTACATTGTTGAACGTTTCATTCGTGAGAGTTCCATCGCTAAAGAGACGGTGACTAGTGTTTTGTGAATATCACGTAATGAGTGCCGCATCTATTCGATCAATTTCCTATGACTCATTCCATTTTGTTGCTTTCCACACCGTTGTGTTATTTTCCAGTTGCTAGGACAGATTTTTCGTCGTTATGTTTCACATTCGGTATGTTACGTTGTGATCAAAATTATCGGTAATGCAGATGTTATATTCGATGAAAGTGCTACATTTTCAGGTATTTGGATTGAATAACAGGCAAATCATGTGTATGATCGTCAGATCCCTTGTACTAGGTGCGTTTATTTGATTGATTAATGTTCTGTGTATCAAAAATTTTTTTGAAATTCGATTCGTTTACATACTTTAACTAAGCATAAAGTGAGCTGCTTTATCAGTGACTGTCAAATATCGATCCAGTTCTTATCTATATGCGAATATTTCCAGTTTAAGTGGGACGTATTTTCATATGAAATAAAGTAAGCATAGTTTCCTCTTAACTTTAATTTCGTTTCGAAATTATTTGGATTGATGTTTTTTAGTTTTTCGTGTTTTTATGCCATTATCAAAGTCCATTCACACAAACACGAAACAGTGCTTTACCTTGACATCATTAAAAAATTTATCAGCTGAGTGAGTATCGGTGATCAACGTTGGAACAGAATAATCGGTTGTGTACGATTGAAACGTTAAACCGTTTTCCGATCGAACTATATCCTAATGAAAAAATTTCGTTATAGTGTTCCTTTCGATGGGTATAACTTCAGCGGAACATTGGGCTGTACAAGATGGTAATGAAGTGTGCATCGTTATGGATGCTAATCTCACTGGTTCTATCAAATATAATTCCACGGTTATTTTTCTTTCACTGAATTGAATTGAGACTGGTTTTATTTGCCTTGAATAAGGCAAAGAACTATTCAACTAAGAATGCCCGTAGCGTTCTGAATTACCGTTGTGTTATATCTTGGATGAAATGTTTTGTAATTTATTCGTGAATCATTTTTTATCTCGTTCAGTGATGTTAGTTGTGGAAAATTAACATCAGTGAAGGTGCTTGAAAAACGATAACTGAAGTATTTCAGTAATTGAGCTGACCTTAATGAGAATTAGAATTGAATCTTATTTGAGTGCTGGCTTTTCATAATTTCATCGAATGTAGCATCCCTCAATTGAATACTTTAAGTTTGTTTCATTAACTGTAAGTGATTAAATGTTTAGCAATCGAACGAAACAGTTGAATATAAATTCAACAATGCAACATATGTTGGTTCCAGTGGTGAATGTCATGCGACAAGAAAAAATGACAGCATTCAATCCATCGAAATTCAGTAATTATTTATTTTTATTTGCTGTTAGAAGTTGTTGTGTTGATTGCATTCCAAACTTCTTTATTTTTATTTAGTCACTTAATTTTTCAGTTTTATAATGTGAATTTGTCACAGCGAACAATATTTAGTGCTTCTGTCAATTAAGGTTCCTTCCCAACGATGTGAAACCTCCAGTGAAAGAAGCACAGCAATACTGGAGTCTTAGAATTTGGTTCACGCAGGGTCATGAGCAGACATTCCGTGTACAAGACTTTGAATTGCACGCTTACTTCTATTCAACAATGAACTCTACTGGTGATTCATTTCAATATTCTTAATATTATCGCTATTGTTACTATCCTTATTATTAAGTTTATTATCATTTTTATCACTGTTATGATCAGAAATTATAATTATCATTATCACCATACTTCAATGTGCGAATTTTGAATGAATTTCAATGAACTTCAGTTGGATGTTGTGTTGAATTGTAGTGAATGAGACGACGTATGTGAGCAGTGACCATGCGGAATTGGAGATTGGTGCCGAGGAGAAGAATGCGTTCAAATGTTCAGATTCTGCTTTGGGTTTTGTCGATGCGACCGTCAATCTCAAGAATCTCAAAGTGATCGCTTTCGCTAATCTTAACAGCACCGACTTTCCGAAGGAACAACGTTAGTTTTTTTCATGTTTTCCTTCTTGTTTTTAGTTTCTTTTTCCGTTGATCACTTTTGGTTTTTAAATTTCATCATCAATCTGTTATCGTTGTATTCATACAGCGACTTTTTTCACAGTAATGCTGTTAATTGTGGTTTTGTTAGTGATGATAGAGGCTGAGCTATTTGCTTGGTTTGGCTTTAAGAGAAGGAAGATGATTTGTTTGGTTGAAGCGAATTTGAAATGATTGCGCTGTGTTTAGAGACAAACGATTGTTTTCTTTTGTTATGAGCTAATGAATTTTTGGTTTTTCATGTAATAATATTGTCGTGAGAGTATGATTGAATGTCTGTATGGGTGTTTCTCTCGCTTAGATGCTCCAATGCCCCTTCGATGGTCTGACAGGACAGACTCATTTCCCTCCCCCGCATTCCCGTTAAAGTCAGGAGCATCCCGGAAACCGATCGGGAAAATCCTTGGCAGCATGAATGAAATCGATTTTCTGGAAAGAAATAAGTATTTTCTGAATTTTATTTATCAGTTACGGAAAGAATATGAACCTAAGCAATTGAAATCGAAAAGCCGTAAAAAAAGTGAAAAACAAAATCATCAGCGACGGAAAACTCAAATTTTATCAGCAAGTATTCCCCCGATGCTCCTAAATTACCTCCCAAGGGTTAGTATGCCCCTGTGAGAAACACTGGTCTATGTGATAGTTGTTGTCGTTTTATCGAATGGTTGTCAGTTGCTATAATGGAGTATTATTCGATGAATAGATCGACTTCAGTAGTGCATTTACTCGTTCGTTCATATGGAGACGATAATTTATTGTCATTTGCAGAGTTCGAGCAGTGCAGTTTGGATGTTCGAACGTCGGATATAGTGCCAATCATTGTGGGTGCCTGCCTAGCTGGTCTCGTGATTGCTGTTTTAATCGCTTACCTCATCGGACGTGCACGTGCTAAACGTCAGGGTTACGCATCTGTATAATTTGATTTACACTTTGGCAGTAATGACATTCATCATTATCATTCATGTTCACTGTTATCATTATTATTTTCGTTTGAATTTCAGTTAACACAATCATAAAAATTCAAATTTCAGCTCAGTTTCATTCGCATTCATTTATTCTTGTATTTCGTTGGCAATTCATTCGTTTTTTATTTTAGTTTTGTGTTTTCTCATTGATTTTGACAATCATCATTATAGTTATTGATCACATTGCTCTGATATCGATCACTTCTTTAAAAACTATTATCAGTTCCGTTCGGTTCGAAGTTTGTTAACTTCTCGAATGATAATTGTTACATTACTTCTCCATCGAAGTTGTAGTTTTGTTTTGCTTTTTTCGTATTTGTGTTTGGTTTGAAAAGGAAATTGTGTTCGATATGTGGAGGAAAGAAAGGAGTTAGTTCATTGTTAGTGCATATTCAGCCAGACTGAATGAATGAGGGAAATTTCACGGGGTAAGAAAAAGGCGACATTGAGAGTGTTGATGTGAGTTGGTTGGTGTGAGAAAGATTCGCGATGGATTGCTTTTGAAGTATTACTTTCAGGTGCAATCTCTTGAATATTCAATCACAAAAATTCGGTTTGTCGTTGTTTCATTGTCTGTCGTTGTTCTCGTTCATTCTTTTTAATTGGTATTGGCCTTTGTTTAACTGAATTGGCTGTTATTTGCTTCGTTCTTCTGTGGTAGTGCTTTTTTTGGTGGTTTTTTACTTTACTTTGGATTGATTCGTTTCGACCCATTTGAGCTTCATTTCCTTTTTTTCCTTTGCTGGCTCGTCTTAGCAAACCTATCACGCATATAATGAAAATCCGAATAACTCCATAGAAAATGGTTCCCTTTTTTGGAGGGGGGGAGGAGATGGTTTGAAATTAAATCAGAATGCGTCGTATCGACAAAAAAGTTTTGGAGCGAAGTTAGGTGAATTTTTGGTCGATTTAATATTTTGAGACTGTCAATGATGGAACGAAAAACTGATTCATTCAGTATTCTTTTGCAAATCCGAAAGTTATCTGCTCCTAGTGAATTAATGCAGTACTGAGTTGCAAACAGATCTGAACGAGTTTGCAGTGAAAATTTTGCAGTAACAGTCAAAATCAATTGTATTTTGTATTCACTTCAAGGGATAATTCTAATAATTGATGTATGCAATTCGTATCAGTAGGATCGATCCACTTATAACTCTTCGGTTATCTTGTTATCAAGTTCAATTCCTCAGTATTGGCTTGTTGTTTTCGTTATTTGTGTGTGCTGCGTTTCATGTTGTCACTCTGTTAAAACTAACTGTTAAAGGAACACTCATTCGAGATCGAGTTGTTTCGTCGACAAAGACCTTTCACATCGAATGATCAACAACGAAGTAAAATGATACGTCGATTTCCGTTTATCACACTTCCAATTATAATGACAGTCCGTTTCGAATCCATCGTTCCAATCGAATACACTGAGTCGAATTCGAGCCAGCTATGCCTCCATTTCCCATCCCCTTAGATTTTTGTCAATCTTATCAATCAGTCCTCAGATGTCTGAAGTGAAGTGATTCATTTCACCGCACATCATGATTCATTTGATCACTGAATTTATCGTGATTATTACTAATGTTAATCGTATCGTTATTATCGTCCTGTTTTTATCGAATTCATTCATTCAGAATGTGAATTGTTTCGAAAGTATGATTCGTTCAACAAAAGAACGTCAGCAAATGAAGACACACTTATCCATTCGAGTATTCAAAGAAATCGAGTTTTTTACGTTGTTAAAGGGTTGTTCAATAATTGTGCTGTGCTTGTGTGTGCGCTTTTATTTGTTATCATTCGGTATCGATACGGTTTTCTCTTATGCCTTATTTTATTTATCATTTGAGAAAGTTTTCCGTTGAGAAATGAATTAATTCTTTTGTTTCAAAACGTTCGCGTGAATAATTCATATTTGTTTTCGAATTTCACATGCCGAAGAAACTTTATGCAGAGCGTGTTTTTTGTGAACGATTAACATGAATTTATATATACGTTATAGTTGTTGAAGGAATGCTTTTGTCGCAGATTCATTCTCATCTTATTGCTTGTATTCTGTTAATCGCTTTCACTGTCTTTCCATCAGATAATCATTTTCTTCAGCGGAAAAAATCGTCTCTGCAGTGCTAAACGATTCTATTTTAGTTGTCAAATCGTGGTTTCTCATTTGAATTGATTGAAGATTTTTCATGGGTTAATAAGATGGTAAAAGCGATCGATAGGGAGCTTTCAGTGGGTTTAAGGTGCAGTAGAAATATGAAGTGGAATGTTTTTTTAAAAGAAAGCTCAATTTGAAGTGGTAGGGAAGGGCATTGGGGATGACAAATCAATGAAGAATTTTGGGTGAAGTGCGTCAGTATTTGTTAGCGTTCTGATGTTACAAGCACAACGAAAACTCATAATGCTGAGTTCGAAAAAAGTGCGTAGAGAAGCAATTTGCTTGCGGAGAGATATGAAAAGTGATATTCTTGATTCAAAAGGATTTATGTTGTGGGAACGACGAGTAATTTTACTGTTGCAGTTGTTTTCTGAATGATTGCGCTCGCCATTCAGTACAAATTTTATTTCCGAATGACATTCCAAAAAATGATTTCACGACGTTTTCTGCTGGAATGATTGTGAGAAAAAAAAAGATTGTTTGTTGAAAATTTGGCAAATTGTTTCGTTCGAAGTAAAAATCTTCAATAAGCGAATAATTTGAAGGTGTTGGATATTTTGCAATATTCATACGGTATTGTTCATTTTTATGTTCATTAAACACTTTGAATATGTATTCCACTTAATTTGATGTCAGCGTAATCCAATAATATTTTGTTCACAATAAAATCGTTTTTAAAAACAAGTTTCATAAAAGTGGTTCTATTTTTTTGGCACAATTCAGTCTCGTATTGGTACCAAAGAACCGTCATTTTACTTCTTTCGTGAAGTAGTGATCAATGTAAACTTCACTGTTCGTGCAATGAATATTTTGGCGGAATTGTTATGATCGTGAATNTTCCTCTAAATTACAGCGAACAATGTCAGGCTGGCAACGAAACAAATGGCATTCATACTAACTAATATATCTGTAAATGAATTAGACGGCTGACGAGAAGTCATCAAGGATCAGAGTTGATGCATGCAACGGTGCATGTAGCGTTCATAGTCGTAAAACAAACTGTTACTTGCAGACAATTTCATCAAAGAATGTATTTGTTCAGTTTTGATTCGGTATCTTATTAAGATGGATCGACCTATCTCAAAGCAATCAACTGAACATATAGTGTTTTTAGATATCTTTCATATGCATCTAAATGACCAAATCAGGATTAATACCACATGGACTAAGATTTGTTTTACGTCGATTGGAACGTCATTATAACTGTGATATTATACGATATTCATTCACAACACATTGCTGTGCAGTTAATATAAACGGTTCTGCAAATGCCCAATTGAAGTTCGAAAGTGGTCGATTGGCCAAATTTGCTGATGGATCTGCAGTTGTTTCGCTAGGCAATAATGCGGTTTGTTCCGAATTCTATTGCAGTCATGCATTGTTCTANTTTGCTGATGGATCTGCAGTTGTTTCGCTAGGCAATAATGCGGTTTGTTGCGAATTCTGTTGCAGTCATGCATTGTTCTATGATGACTTAGTTGCATTTGATTGTACATACATTCAAAAGAATTTGCAGACTCTTATCAGATATCTTTTATTCACATTATCTCGCCTAAGTTTGATATTCGTGTTTATAAGGGTAAAATTCCTGTGCAGTGCGTACAGTTTTTATTTTTACATTTTAATATGTGATTGTTATTATTATTGTGGAATGTTTTCGTGAATTCAGATATTAGCGACAGCTGTAAGTAATGCAGATTCATCGCCGTCACCGAATTCCTTTCTTCCGTTAACCGTCGATTTCAAACAAAGTGCTTCGGCAGTCGGTCGAATTCCGATGAATTACTTGAGACGAGAATTGCAACAGACCGATTCTGATATTCTGACTTCACGGCTCATCGATCGATCCATTCGACCGTTATTCCCAAAACAATTCAATAATGAAACTCAAGTTCATATTTTGTTTTCTTTCATTTTACTTTACATTTTCAAGAACGCATTTTGACTGCTTCATTCTCATTCGAATAAGGATGTGTGTCTGTTGTAGAGGTTGAAATGTGTTATGTCGTGAAGCAAGTCGCTGCTTCGTAAAAAACTGCACAAGTTAATTTGAGAATACCATAGAAGTTTGTTTTTTGAAGGAAAGCTGAATTTTATGGTGA